GGCATTGTGGCTCAAGTGGTAGAATGCTAGCCTTGAGCTGAAGAGCTGAGGGACAGCGCCCAGGACCAGAGTTCAGGCCCCATGACCGGACCCCCCCCCCAAAAAAAAATCATTAACCACCCTAGGAAACCTGTGCTACGCAGGCTTTCCTATTTTTATATTGATGAATCAATCCTTGCAGCCAGTGAAAGCAGGTTGTTTGATTTATACCATAAACAAGGGTACACATACTTAGAATCTAGGTGCAGCATATATGTAACTGATAGACAGTTTTGGCACCAAAACAGCAGTGGCGTGTATAACATACATGTATATAATATATATTATATATAATGGGGTTCCTCGTGTTGATTCCCAACTTATTACAACCAAAAAGACTAAGGTCTTCTACTTATTCAGGAGGCTGAAACCTGAAGGATCCTTCTCCTCATCTCCTCTCCCCCTCCCCAAACTGCACCAGTCCTGGGGTTTGAACTTAGGGCAGTACACTTGACTTGGCTTGCTCACACATGACAGATCCTCTATCATTTGAACCACATTTCAAGCCAGGTTGGTTTTTTTGGGTGGGGGGAGTGGTCAATCAGGGGGCTTGAACTCTGGGCCTGGGCGCTGTCCCTGAGCTTTTCAGCTCAAGGTGAGCGCTCTACCACTTAAGCCACAGTGCCACTTCCAGTTTTCTGGTGGTTTATTGGCGATAAGAGTCTCATGGACTTTCCTGTCTGGGCTGGCTTTGAACTGTGATCCTCAGATCTCAGCCTCCTGAGTGGCTGGGATGACAGGTGTGAGCCACCAATGCCCGGCTTCCAGCCAGGTTGTTGTATGTGGTTTTTTTCTTTGATGGTTGGTTCTGAGATGGAGTCCTGCAGAGATCTTTCACATTGCTCAGTCTCCTGAGCAGCTAGTATTATAGATGTGAGCCCCTGTGCCTGGCTCCAGTCCCCTCTGTATTATTAGAGATCTAGATGTGTTGGCTCATGAAGTCTGAGTAAGGGCCCGTTTCTGGCTATGGTGTCTACTTCAGTCTATTTTAGTCTTTTATTGGTGGCACTGGGGTTTGGGTAGAAGACCTGAGGCTTATGAAGCAAGCACTTTACCATTTGAACCATGCTACCGTTTTTTGCCATAGTTCATTTCTCAGATAGGGCCTGACATATTTTTTTTTGTCCATTGTGGGGCTTGAACGCTGGGCCTGGGTGCTGCTCCTCAGCTCTTCAGCTCAAGGCAAGCGCTCTGCCACTTGAGCCACAGTGCCACTTCCGGCTGTTTTCTGCTTATGTGGTGCTGAGGAATGGAACCCAGGGCCTCATGCATGCAAGGCAAGCGCTCTACCACTGAGCCACCTTCCCAGCTCCAGTCATTTATTTCATTGACTTAATTCTGACCAGGGCCAGCCTCTAATTGCAATCCTCTTCTCTCTGCCTCTCAGATGCATAGCTTGGGTGACAGGAACCCCTCCTCCCCTCCCCCCCCCCCCGCCATTCCTGACTTGTTCTTTGAGAAAGGGTCTTGCCAAATTCCCTGCCCCAGGAGGAGGATGGGGGACGGGGCGGGTGTGTGTGTGTGTAGAAACTGATTGGCCTCCAAATGTGGTTCTCCGAAGCTAGACTTCCCAAGTGCCTGGGATTACAGGCGTGAGGCTCGGCACCGTGTCTGGCTTTTTCTGTAGTGTGCCACCGTCTAGCAGGGCGGACACGTACTTAGAAGGGGAAACTTACCTTGAAATGTACTGAGCAACTGACCTCAATCTCCCATTCCAGCTGGGCAGGGGTCACGCAGTGACCGAATTTTCCTCCAGCTGTGCTCTTTAGCATCACCATGGCAACTCGCCCAGCTATCCCGCTGAGCGGAGACAGGATTCCCTTAGTAACTGTGGAGCCTGGGAGATGTTGCTTAAAATAATCATATATATATATATATTTTTTTTTTCTGCCCAGCAGAAATGCCTTTGCAGCTTTATTAAGCATGAAACATCCTGGGGGGGGGGGGACACAGATTTCTCTTTCATTTTCTTTCCAAAGAAATAAGGCTTGAATATCCAACCAAGGATTAAATGTTGTTTTCACCCTAGAAAGCACACTCAAGATAGAGTAGGAGACTCCTGAGACTCCCACCCCGGTCTGGGAATGCCGCCGCTGGTCAGTATTATATAAATTACCTTCAAATAGAACAAGCGATCACTTGGTTGAAACCACTTCGTCTAAATCGCTTTTTCTCTTCCCTATAGAAGTCTCAGCAGTCTCTCCGTCGGGAAGAGAGTTCTGTCTCGCAAAAGTTCAAACCCATGGCTCATGCCTGTCATCCTAGCTACTCAGGAGGCCAAGGTCTGAGGATAAGGTTTTGAAGCTGGCCCAGGCAAGGAAAGTCTGTGAGATGCTGTATCTCCAGTAAACCACTCAGAAAAAGCCAGAAGTGGCTCAAGTGGTAGAGCGCTAGCCTTGAACACAAAGAGGTTCAGGGACAGAGCCCAGGCCCTGAGTTCAAGCTCCAGGACTGGTAAAAACAAAAAGTCAAACACATGAGCTGTGAAACCTGATAGTTTTTTCTTACCTGTGATGTCTCTCTTCCCCCACCCTCATATTTGTAAGAAAACCCAGCATTCCTAACTTCCTGAAATCTTCGAAGTGAAGGTTGCACAACTCTGAAAATCTGCTAAAAACGATTCAACTGCATATTCTAGAAGAATGTTTTTTCTTTTCTTTTTTGGTACCTGTCCTGAGGCTTGAACTCAGGGCCTGAGCACTGCCCCTGAGCCTTTGTGCTCAAGACTAGCACTCGATCACTTGAGCCACAGCTCTACTACCGCCTTTTTGTTGGTTTCTTTCCTGCCCAGGCTGGCTTTGAACCGTGATCCTCAGAGCTCAGCCTGCTGAGTAGCTAGGATGACAGGCGTGAGCCACCAATGAATGCCTGGCCATTATCATGTTTTACATGACATGCTACCATGTACAATAGGCTGTGGATTGACCTAAATACTGTAAAGATGTTATTCCCTGACGTCTTCATAAGAGTTCTAAGAAGCAGACGCCACTACCTCCATTATACAGATAAGGAAACCGAGGCTCAGGAAAGACAATGAAATCTCCACTCACTAGGGACCATTATCTCTGCCTGACACAGAAGCTGGTTGTACTCACAGTAAAGTCTGCTCTGTCCTGAGGAATCAAACCAGTCCTTTCTCAGGGTCAGGGTTAAATGCACTTCTGAGAGGGAGCCAGTTGGGCAGGCAGAATGGCCTCTCCGTGATGATCAGTTGGATCTGAAGATATGAACAGCCAAACACTGACAGAATGTGCTGGGAGTTTCTCTGCCCTGACTCTATGGAATTAGAGAAATATAAATATACAGATAAAGTCACTTCCGTTTTCATTTGCTTCCTATTAAACTCTAAGCGAACGAGTTGAGATGATGAAATGATTTGCCCAGCCCCACCCTGCCCTCCTCCCCGGCCTAACCTGATCGCTGTGGACAGGCTTGTACTATTCCAAACTGCATTCCACTTGGGGTTTGACATTTGGGGTTCTGATTGCTTTTCGTGGGGGTCCTTTGAGTCTTACTATTGCCAAGGATTTACCTCGGTGCTCATGAATGCAGGATGTTCTTTTTATTTTTATTTATTTTTACTTTTTAAAAATCCTTTTTATGGGATGGAGGCAAAAAATAAAAGGTCAGGATGCATAACGGAAACAATGATCTTCCTTTCTTTTGTGTTTTGTTTTGGAATACACCAAACCTTCTGGCCACCAGAAGAAAAGACAACTCTTTCTTAGAAATGTTACCCCACTGTATAGACAAAATGATAAATACAATACTACATATATATAGGTCCAAGCTGGTTTTGAATTATGATCCTCAGATCTCCATCTCCTGAGTAGCTAGAACTACAGACGTGAGCCACCAGCACCCAGTGAGAACCTAAATAAATAAAAAAAATATATATATATATATTAAACAGTGATAGGGCTTGAACTCTGGGCCTGGGCACTGTCCTTGAGCTTCTTTGTCTCAAGGTGAGTGCTCTACCACTTGAACCACAGCGCCACTTTTGGTTTTCTAGTAGTTTATTGGAGATGAGAGTCTCACAGACTTTCCTGCTTGGGCTGGCTTTGAACTACGATCCTCAGATCTCAGCCTCCAGAGTATCTAGGGTGACAGGTGTGAGCCACCAGCGAGAACCTAAATATTTTAACTCCTTGTTTGTTAGAAGCAATGATGACGATGTGTTCCCTCAGCACCGAGAAAGAGCTATTCCTAATCTGAAACAAGTCTCCCCACGCCACACATAGCCCTGTCAGGAAAGAGGAACAAGGCCAGGACACTTAGGAAATAATTCTGTAAGTACCCAATTTATTCATAAAACAATACATGTGAAATAGTTACGGTTTTTTTTCCCCAATCATACACTTCTTTAAAAAAAAAAACAACAACAAACCATCATTCCCCAAATGTTGTCCATTTGGTTGACATGTATTTGCAAGATTAAGATCTGTAATTATAACTCTGGAGATTACACAAGGTCTTTGATTGGACGACGAAAACTGTTCCCACCCACACCAGCAAACGAACGAACAGATTTATTTTGCCTAGTGATTTATTCTACCATCTCTCTAACCAAAAAAAAAAAAAAATTAAATAAATAAAAAGTTTCCAGTGTGCGTCTCTTAGGCTGGCAAAGCAATTGTGAATTTCTCTGAAAGAAGAATTTTCTGTGGTTTTTTTTTTTAAACAAATAAAATGCTTAGGTAATTTGTGTGCGTGATTAAGTGTTAGGGCCGAATCGCTAGGTGGATAGACTTTTAGAGCAGAGAAACCTTCCTTCACAGGGAGGATCGAGAAGTTAAAAACTGCTGGAACAGTGTAAGGATTATTATTATTATATTATTGTTCTTCTTATTGAATATTATTATCATGATTATTTTAAACATGCAAAATACAGTCCATGCATCTGCCTTGTGTTTTTGAAGTGTCTTGTCCCCTAGCAGATAAAACCAAGTATGTTTGTTATTATTATTAATATTATTAATTATTGGCTGTCAACATTCGATAAATGTTTCAAAATGCTTTACAGTGTAAAGGTAATAAGAAATTTAGCAAAATTTCAACAAACCTGTATAAAAAAACGGATACATGGTACCATTTTTTTTTTTTTTTGGTTGGTTGTGGGGCCTGAACTCTGGGCCTGGGCGCTGTCCCTCAGCTCTTCAGCTCAAGGCGAGCGCTCTACCCCTTGAGCCACAGCACCACTTCCAGCTTTTTTCTGCTTATGTGGTGCTGAGGAATCGAACCCAGGGCCTCATGCATGCAAGGCAAGCACTCTACCACTGAGCTACCTTCCCAGCCCCCATGGTACCTATTTTTTAAATCTCAAGGCGACATGCTGAAAAGACTTATGTGGTATTTCTTTGTAAAAAGGTCTTAGATAATACAAGAGTGGAGCCGATCTAGGCCTTTGGACTACACATGCAAAAGGAAAAGGAAAACAAACCAAAAAAAGATTAAGTTAGTTAAAAATCGCCAAAACGTGCTATTTTTTAAATGTGTATTATTGTTGTCATTATAATTATAATAATTATTATTAACGATTATTTTAAGTAGAGGAGAAGTATTGAATCTTAGCCGGGAGCCGGATTCCAGAACTCTGGGAAAGTGGGTGAGGTTCACGGGGCTAGCGTCCTGGAGGATTCGTAGACTTCCGACGAGCATTTTGGTTTGATGCCTTTGCCGTTATAATAGTCCACGACTTGGTTTGGAACTTCAGCCAATACGCTTTTAGCCAGGGCAGCCGGAGATGCCTGGTGGGGGTGCGAGAAGAAATAACATAGCTCTGATCCTTCCTTCCTTCCCTCTCTTCCTTCTCTTCCCTCCTTCCCTTGCTTCCCTCCCTCTCTCCCTCTCTCCCTCTTTCCCTCCCTTTCTCCCTTCCTTCCTCTTTCTTTGCCAGTCCTGGGACTTGAACTCAGATCCTGGGCACTATCCCTGAGCTTCTTTTGCTCAAGGCTAGCTCTCTACCACTTGAGCCACCGTACCACTTCGGGCTTTTTCTGTTTCTGTGGTGCTGAGGAATGGAACCCAGGGCTTCATGC